CAACTCCTCAAGCACCGGGCAACAAGCAAGCCATCAAGGTCGGAGAGCAGGTCAACAAGCCCGCGAGTGGCGGATGCTGCTGAAGGAGGGGTCGGTTCTTTACGGCATATGCGGATTAGAATAGTATGTATCAGTGTGTGTGTCTCCGGCTGACGGCCGGAGGTGGTATTTTGTGGTCCGGTCCATTCAATCTGTTTCCTTTATCTTTGACGTTTGATATATGAATTGAACATATGGAAGTTTTGGTTGGTGCGGTGTGGGGCTTCGCTGAAGGTTGATTTCCATCGTGCAGGTAGATTAGATTCGATTATCAACCCTTTCCAATGAGCAGCCAGGACAGTTGGGACCCAAGTTCCTTCAAACATGCCAATAAGTCATTGGAACAATTCATGAAACACTCGTTATATACATTTACAAATTTACAAGGAAGTTCCTCCCCCTATGTTGAGGAAAGAATTGTTACTCTTCCCATCTATCCCATCGACCCCCCAAACAAAATCCCCAACCAGGTCCTTCAGCATTCCAGGAAATCAGCCGCCATGAGCAGTTCCAGGGCGATTTCCGGTTCGATTGAGAAGTCGGGAATTTCGCTGGAGGTGTTGGTGTGTCGCACTTTGTAGTATAGGTATTTGCAGACTTTTTCCAAGATTACGGCTCTGTAGAATTGGAAGGTTTCATTGATGAGATTACATTGCATGCCATTTGGCTTCTGTCCAGAGGCCCCACGAGGTCCGGAGAAGGTCAAGTTCGAGCAAAACAACGGCCAGACATACTTGATATCCCGGAAGTTGATTTCGTTCTGGACGGACTCGGTGAATTGACCTGCAAAGCAGGGATGAGGTTTAGCATATAGGCTGAAAAGTCTGACGGGACTGCGGGCTACGGTGACCAGCTCTTGCGGTCCCCGTCCCGACTCAGGCGGGAGCTGCATACCTGGACTGGACAGCATGTTCTTTATCGTCCCGCTGGCCATAGCACACTTTCGGTCGATGACAAACTCGAACCCGTCCGCGCTGATAAGCTTGACTGTTTCTGCGAGTGGTTCGTCCATTGCGGAGCGGTTTTCGTTGTTGGGAAGGATGGAGAAAACTTGTATTGAAGCTGTGGAAAAAAAGTGAGAGGAAGAAACTCATGAAGTTTGTTCCCAGGCCAGGTGGCCAATCGCGGTGGCACTGATTTGACAACCGCGGTCACCGAGCCACCGTTTCAGGGTCCTATGATATTCCGCCACTAGAAGGTGTTCATCATACCCAGCGCTCGTGGCAAGAAAAGTGGGTACCCACTTCATGCATCATCTATCATGGTCACGGCCACCAAAATCCAGTAACATCAGATGATATGATTGAGAGTAATATATATACAAAAGTTGCGAACACTATCAATCTATGGCGTGGAACTAACTGGTGAGCCGCCCTGTCCCTTCAAAAGGCCAGAAGTATCCCGTCTGATGCCAACAGATTTTGCCCGACTTCTATTCTCCGCCTGTCGGACTTCTACCGACCGCAAGAATTCCGCGTCTGAAATGGTCCCCTTCTTGGTTCCTTTCGAGTCCCTGCCATTCTTCATAACCGCCATCCGGACTGCCGCAGCCTCCAGAACGGCCCCAAACGCCTGCATCCTTTCCAAAGAGGGAAACTCAATGGTCACGGCCTCCGCCTTCCCGCCTTTCCCAAGAGGCTCTAGGACTACTCGTACCGCTGCCTCCTTTTCTTCCTTTGTGCCAATCGGAATTGCACCGACGTTGGGGAAGGTGTACGATATATCCGAGAGCTTGAAGGCTTTGCTAACACGCGCGTTTGTGAGATTTTCGAAAAGGACCAGTACATCCATTTCAGGCACGACGACTACGGAACTGGACCTTGATGGCTCAACACCCTTCCCCAGGATTTTCGCCAAGAAGACGAAGGACGTAAACCCTTTCTGCTCTCCCTCCCATTCAGATGTTAAGTCAATCCCTCCTTTCCGTCCGATATCCTCCTCAGCGGCATGCTCATCCGTTTTGTAGTCGAAAATCGCGTCCAAAAGGCGGGGAACGAGAAGGACAAGCGCGATTAGCATTGCCGCAAAGACGTAGACCAGACTGCGTAGGAGTACTGCTATTGATAGTGTCTCTGGCTCTTGCTCTTCTTTGATGGCGACCGCAATGCCGAATATGGTGACGATGGCGGCAATGGATACTGAGGTGGCAACGCTCTTTGAGTAACTGAGTTCCCGCTTGATATTTCGTGTAAGGAAGGCGTAGTATAGGCATAGTAACATGAGGAAACCGTTGACTCCTAAAGCAGCTGCTTCCATGGAGACGTAGAGGTATTTGCGACCGTCACTCGGCGTGCAGATGCGGTATTCCGTGCCATCATTGAGGATACCGGTCTCCGGTTTGGACTGCACAACGCCCGAGCTATTGACGGTGGTGAGTTACTTCAAAAAACGAAAGGGTAGGAAATAAGCAACTTACATTATGCCCACGCATAGAAGCTGTATCGCACCAATTGAGACAGCCCCCAATATGATATTTGTATTAGTGAGGTTCTTGGCAAGTGTATTCTCAAAAGCATGGTGTTGCCGATACATCATCAGAACCAACAACCTAAACAGTGGATGCGATCACATTAGACAGAGAACCACAATCTCCTCTGGTGCAAGTGAAAGACTTACGAAAGGGAAATCCCCGCGCCGGCAGGTGCAAACAATACTCGTAGAGCACACAACACAGGTGTTGGCTCAGCAATATAGAACTGTCCCCCGAAAATGACTAAAACCGTCCCAAGCAAAATGATATAGGAAAGAGAAGGTGGCAGATTCTTCATTGTTGACCGGTCTTTGTAGTAGGTCACCAGTACCCCTAAGATGATGACGATGATGAAGGCGATGATGATAACAACGTTCGCGATGACGGAGTATCGATTCTGAAAGTTGACAATCACTTGATTCTCCGTTTCGCTGCAGTCTTTGTGGTAGACGTTCATCCAGCCTGGGTTGCAGACACAAGCTGTGTCTGGACTCTGAAAAGGTAGATCGCTTGCACAGTAGCCATGTTGGCATCCTCCCGGCTGACCCGGCGGGATATCGCATAGAGATCTGTTCGATAGTGGAATGCCGTTGTACGTGACGTTCCCCAATATGGCACTGCTCGCGGCAATATGTGCAGCCGACGGGAGAACGAAATAGTATTGGTAGGCGATTTCCTGAAATGAAGCCATTTGAACAAACTGAAAGAAGTTGACAGAGCGGCACAAAGGCCAATACCTGTCCATGGTTGAACGTCCACCATAGATATTGCAGTGTTGCTCGCCCTACTGTTTCCGAAAGGAATGTATTGTTTCGAATCACTGTTTTTTTGAAGATGTCAGAACTTCAGCGAAGTTGATGGTGTCATGATGAGGTGCCTACGGTAGAACATCCATGAATTCAAAGGGTACGCCCCAGCGTTAGGTGAATCCACCGTGCTGACACCCAGTTTGGGGTTCTGGCTACGCTGATTTATCGAGACATCGACGTCAGCGATCCCCAAATGTCACATTATCAGTTGATTGGCTTACTTGCAGAGCTTCGGCACTTGGCACCACAACATCTCCATTCCGGTTGATGATGCTGGCGACAGATATTTGGGTCAACCCAACGATATCCTCCCCGCCCATGTATGTTATGCTCCAAGGAAAGGTTTCCACCAGCACTACGATGGCTTCCCAAGTGGTCCCGTTCAAGATATGTGTGCTCGTGCTCACAGAAGCGACGGTGTCTGCGCCGTCAACCGAAAGTGGAAAGGTAGAATCAATTGTATTCAGAATCCGCATGAAGGTTTTTGTTGTTCCCCTGCCCATTGTGGGCAGAATGAGCGTTATAGGCGGAGATGGGCTCGGAAGTAGTGCTGCCAAATTTGGATTGTGCTCTTGCAAGGCTTGATCCTCCCAATGGGTTATGCGTCCGAAGAAGAGATCTACTACATTTTGCCTTGTGAGAACGAGTGGAATGCTCGAATTCAAATTTGGGATGTTGTATGCGATAACAATCATCCTGCCAGATCATTAGCCATCGAGTTCATGCGTCGGGTGGTGCTGCATTGCTTACCCTTCTACCGCTGGAACCGTAATCAAATCAACTGCACCCACTATATCAGCGGTCGGCGCATTGTTTGATGCAAAGAAGGAGTATGACAAGTCGCCGTTTTTGAGGGCGTCAAAAGCATATTGGCTGGATGAAGAATTGTATTGCACTGATGAGACTGCGCTGCCTGTGTTCAAAGCACCGTCAGTGAAGTTCAGGTAGAGGATGGCAGGATGTTCAACCGAAGGATCTTACCCGATTGAGACCCATATATGGCCGTGAAGTTTGCCGCCCATGCTTGAAATAGGTTCCCACAAAACGACGCGCCGATTCCCTTGATTGCGACTGATGATGCAGACAATTTCTCATGTTACAGATCCCTTCTAACAAAAGGGTCGCACGATGAAGTTAGTTGAAGTTTACCTGGTGCCTCGCTCTGTACACTTATAAAGTTCCCGAGGGCACAGAGTACCCAAATCAAACATATGGCTAGTTTCCTGTTGTGCATGAGGATTGCATTTATATGATTCTGTTGTGCGACGCATAAGAGAGCTCCTTGATCGAAACACAAACCCGGATTGGACTATACTAAATGCATGGCGCGCAACGTTGAATATGAAGTCAGGTCGCATTCCGTGCCGAATTGATTGATCCTTTAAAATATGCAATGGTAAGTTGCGCATGATCGGATCCTCCGCCCTCCGATCGCAAGCCGCTATTTTGGGCGACATGGGACAAGACGGTGGAGTGAATGGCAATGCTCTCAACGTTCAAGGGTCCAAGGATTGCTGATGTAAGCAAACAATGAAAGGGGTATCATAGTATTTCAGCGCAGAGCACCCGCAATGTAAGAAGTTCCTAAAAACGAAGTTAGCAGAATTGGACCTTTATGCACCTGCGCCACGGCGGGATGGCGGATTAGGCGAAAGAGAGCAATGGAAAAACAAAAAAAAAAGTGGTCTGATCCGGGTTCGAACCGGAGACCTTATCCGTGCTCAACCCTCAGAGGGATGTGAAGGATACGTGATAACCAACTACACTATCAGACCATTTGACAGATACGTGTCAAATTTACTGTATCAATATTCCGCCTATTGGCTGTCCAACTCGTCCAGTTCATCTTCCTAGCGGAAGGAAGCTAGAGCAGATATGTATCGAAGTAGTAATTCGATTCTGTCCATGAGGCTCACAGCATTGAGGTTCATTGGATCGCAATTCATATATTACAACAACCGACACAAACCAATATATGTACAACCCCACTTCAACTTCCTCATCCTCTCTTTCGTATTCCGTATCCGCTGAATTATCTACCCCTAAATAGCATTTATGCATCATCATGGATTCTCCTCAAAAGATCGATTCCACCAATGGTGACACTCAATAATCCCAATTCGGTTCCGTTCTTCCCTTCCTCTTCTTCCTCCAGAGCCCAAACAGTCAACTCCACCTTCCTAACGTCACCCCCAGGGTCACTCCTTATCAAGTCTCCTAGATCTAGCTCAGCAACCCCAACATCTTCGCACTCCTCCCCTGCACTATCCTCCGGTGGTTCACTAACTATTGCGAACGATATGATGGTATCAATAGGGTTTGGTGAAGTAATGAGGCGCTGTAGGGCAAATCGATCGCGGCTATGTGTGTTAGGGTCGAAGGAAAAGACTGTGGTGGGTGAAGGATCATTAGTTGAAACAGTACTGCCGGCCGTCATAACGCAACAGCAACAAGTTCCACGTACAGCAAGAGTAATCGAATTTGTATGTGTCGATTTTGCGCTCTGGCTCAAGTGTGACGAAGCGTGTTTCCAAATCTTCTGGCGGGTACTCCATGAATCGGAAGCTTACGAACAGTTGGCGGATATGTTTCAAGCGATGTAAGACTGCTGAGTTCGTCAAGTTCAAGTGAATACTCGTGATATTTATGCTAAGACCTTCCCCTGCGGTTGGTGATGGAGTGGGCCCCGACTACGTGGGCCAAGCAAGTTGTTTCCTTGTCAGTGAGAATGTTCACAATATACCAAAACCATCAGCCTGTACCTGCATGATTGCTCTCTCCAGAGTTTCGCCGCTATCTGGACTCACATCCCGTCCTCGACTACTTGAGCTTTTCATGGACTTGCTAGCAATGGAACCCTCCAGAGACTCTTCCGATCCCCCCCTGGACAAACGTGGTTCAGAACAACCCCCGACCTCCTCTTCAAATGTACGCCGGGGCATTTCTGGAATCTGCTGGCTTTCCTTTCGAGATGGGACAGAACTTTGAGGTCGCACCTCTCCTGGAGCGGATTTGCGCAATCGCACAGATTCTTTCGATCCGACCCTGGACATTCCTCCTTCCCTAGATGCTCGCAAAGCCTCATCTACTGTGCCAGGTAGGGACTCTATCAACTGTCCACGAGAGAAGGCAGGCTCAGAGACCCCAGCTGGTCTGACTTCTTCTCTCGCACTGACAAAACTGCGGTCAGAAGGAGTCTTGCTGGATAATTTCGTTGCACCAGCATGCTGTTGAGGGCTTTCAGCTGCGGATTTAATGGAAGCTTTGCTGACGGACCGGGATGGGCGACTCCCTTCAAAATGTTGCACAGAAGCAAGGTCCAAATTCTGAATATCACTCAGGTCCCGTCGCTCTGATGGAAGGACTCCTCTCTCGGGAGCGACCAAATCCTGCCCACTGCCAGAACGGTGATCAAGTGATCCCGCCGTTTTTGAAGTTCCTTCCCCCCTCCTTCCATGGTGATCTACCGCATCCGCTGTCCCGCCGCTCACCCCAAATTCAGGAACCATTATCTTCTGCTGTTGTGAGGGTTCTGGATACCTCTGCCCTTGTGGTGGCCCCCCACCAGAAGGTCGAGCACCACCCCGCGCAAGGCCCGCAGCTCCTTGCGAGTCGCCAGCGCGTTCAATTCTTCCACGCCCCGGAGCGGCCCCAACAGCAATTGAGTCGCCAACACCACTTCCATTTTTGGACCCACTTCCACTTTCTGTCCATTCACTCCCAGCATCGTCTTCATCTTCCGGCTCCACCATGCCCTCGCTTGGAGCACTAACAAGTGACATTTGTGATGTGCCCATGCCCACCATTGTCTGCATGAAGTTGGAAAGACTGCCAGAACCGGCAACGGATGGATCATCTGATGGGCGTCGACCAAGTGGTTTGGGAAACTGGCGAGGTTGGCTATGTGCGGGCGGTTGGCGAACTTCGCCTTCAGAACGACGTTCACTGAAGCAATGATGCTATATGAGCGCTGATATTATAGTCCGATGCGTCCAAAGCTACGTTTACCTTGATAAATCGGTTGCAACCGCCTGACTAGGTCGACTTGATCGGCGGGACGGTGGCATAGAGCTGTGCGATAGGTTTAAAATCATATAGTTGACAAATATCCGCACCTTGAAGAGCCATACCTCATGGAAGCAATGCTCCACTCTTCATCTTCTTCCATTCGCACATTCCGCCTTTGTCCAACATCACCAGCATCAAACCGTTCCACCCGCGGTGGCAGTCCCATCCGTGCGTCATCCGGCAATTCCCTTATCCGCCCTCTCATTTCACTCCCAACCTCCCGGTGATCTAACTGCGACACAACCTGTCGTGCCCGGGATTAGCTACGTACATATATACGAAGTCAATCAACTTACTGGCACAATATCAAGTCTGTAAGGCTTTTCCCATTCCATATCCACTTCAATCGTCCCCGCCTTCACTCCCCGCCCATCCAAAATATCGTACTCCCCGCTGACCCTGTTGCCCAGTGCAAGATTTGCCAATGGAATGTTGCCCACTCCATAACAATAATCGCCGCCCGTTATTGGCGAGTCCGATTCGTCCAACACCAAGATGTGCACCTTTCAATTGATGAGATGAATATCAGCGGCCCTATGCTTGAGATTGCCATCAATGGGACTCACATCGCTGGTCCGCAAATACCGATCTAAATCGGAAGTTACCGCCAATGGAATTTCGTGCACAAAGTTGAACAACGGATCAGCTGTGTGTGCGACTGTATCCTGATATGCCAGCCAATGAATGAGGCAAGACTACTCTTTTGCGACGCATCCTCACTGATTCAAAAGAGCTCATACCGAGACCACATCTCTTCCTCCATAAATTCCAAAAGCAACGTAAACCTTTGGATCCTTCCCCCGTATTCCTTTCAATCCCCTGCACTGTCGGATTCGAATGACAAGTTTGTTGACTTGAACCCGAGACTTGAATCGAGTCCTGTCATTGACTCAAGATGAGAAAAGGTGTTGCATTGCTGGAAATTACTGAATTGATGACATACTTGACTTCTTCCGCATTTCCAACAGTTAACAAATTCAGCGCAACAGTGCGTTCCTTGTAAGCTTGTACTGCTTGTGACATCGGAAGGTGTACTCGAAGAGAGTAGTCAATCTGGCCGATCACCGTTTTCTGTTGTCCATATGGGTCAAACGCTTTAGTCATTACACTTGTTCCTATCGGAAATGTGCAAGCTACCGCGTACATTGTCATGTGTGCTGATCAGATCTCCATAATATCGCAATCGATCTGTAGATTTCGGATCCGTCAGGTCTTTGAGGACCACCGTGCTGCAAGTGCGAAAAGAATGATGCGCTCATTCACAAAGGATGCACACAGGCCTTGAGAAACGAAACATACCATGCGGCAATATGGACATATTCTAAGCCATTTGACCGACACAAGTTCACCATCATCGGTTGACTTTGCAGGTACATCAAAAAGAAGTCGTCCACAAAGACCTTGAATCTGAAATGTCATCGCGCTCACTTCAGCAGGAGCCCCTTTGCTTGGGTTCACCTATGGCAATGAACTTACCGGATATCATGGTCCCATCTGGGCCGCATACCAACACCAACCGGTCCAACAACCGTCTCAAAATCATAGAAATCGCAGTACACAAATGTGGTGATGTTACTACTTTCCGTGTCCGATGTGAGGCCTTGCGTGTGGAGCACGCGCAGACCAACCTCGTTGAGGATGGCGGCAGTGATTGTGAGGGTGATCAAATTTTGGCCTTAATTTATGATGTGAGGATGTCAATCTAGGTCTATCAAAGGCGCTGGGCAGTACCTTTCTCCAATTCAATCTCCTCTTGAGATTCTGCAGTTATCTGAGGTACTGTTGATGTGACGAGTTAGAGAGGCGGTCATCATGTGAATGTTGCGGGCGTGTACCTTTTGTTGTGCCGTATGCTAGGTTCTTCAGCTGCGCCTCCAGAGTTGCTATCTTATGTCCACGCAAATCGAGCAGTCGCGAATCTTCTTCTAATCGCAACTCTAGAAGTAATTGCGTTACTTCCCGCTGGTCACAACCAAGGAAACCAAAACATCACGGTCATCCTACCATACTCGTTCCTCATCGCCACCAACTTCCTGTTCAAATCTTCAACTTCCAATTTGTAATCTCGGTTTATCTTCTCCTGCAGTGCAAGCAGCTTTGCCGTCTTTTCCAATTCCTGAACGCATTCTGCATATTGCAGGCGAAGATCTTGCAGAAGACGTTTATCCTGGACAAGAGTTCAGGATCCCATAGCGTCGAGTGCAAACGGGGACCACTCTCACATGCTCTTTATCATCACTCCTCTCCAGAAAATCTACTTTCGTACCCTTCTCCTTGCACAGCCGCAGCATCGCCAAGGCCTCCTCAATCTCTGAGAGATCAATTTCCCCATCCTTCCAATTGAATAATCTAAGCTGTTCTTTCAACTTGTCAAGCTCATGTTGCAAATTGTAGAACTTTGCGTTGGCCTCCTGAGAATCTTTCTGTGCTGCTGCCGCTGCCGCTCTGGCTTCCTGCAGTGCCTTCAACAGCTCCTGCTTCTCCTCCAACCATTTCTGTTCTCCGCCTTCCAACTCTCGAATTTTGCGTTTCAGCGCTTCTCGCTCCTTATTCCACTCATCTTCCCTCTCAAGCCCAAACTGATTTTGCAAGAGTCGAGCTTGTTCTTGCTCAAGCAGGCGGATTTCGGCACGTAGGTCACTTATGATGATATTAAGCTGCATCAGAAGATGATGATGAATGTCTATTCCGTCAGGAGCTCAACAAA